AGTCTTCAATGTTCTGTACTTTCAGAAACTAAATCATAAACATACAAATGCTTCTCTTGTTAATATAAAAAAAGCCCAATTTAACCACCTCTTGTCTTGGTTGCAAAACTAGCTATTTAAAATTGTTACAACATAAATAAACCATGACATTTTTCACTAAACAGTAGAAAAGGTACCTAAATAATCTGAAAGAAATACATATAGGATACAGAATAAAAAGCAGCTCCCCTAGCAGAGACATAAAGTGATCTCTACAGCAAAACACAGCAGCTCCCTAGCAGCTCATTACTAAACGAAAATTTTTATAAGTTGGTGAGTTTTTTGTTGAGTTTCAGTTTTTTGGGGTTGGTGGGGTTTTTTGTTTTAGGTTTTTTTGGGGTTTTTTTTGTTATAATGTGTAAGGTCATTCCAGTGGAAACTTTTATGAGAACACAGTTGTTTCTACTTCACTCTTACCCAAGGACTCAGGCCAGACTTCCTTCTCAGAGACAGAGGAGCAAGGACTATTTTAGTGTTCTGACCCTGACCGGGAAACAACAAAAAGTAACTGCGGAAAGACACAATCACAGCACTCAATTGCCTACAGGATATCCAGATTTAAGTCCTTGGGCTCCTTGCTCTATATCATGTCTCCATATCAGGCACAAAGAAATATCCCACTCACAGGTTGAGAGAGCTGATTTTTTATATAAAAAGGTGTACAAAATTGGTGTCTAGGAGACATTTTTAGTCTATTACCAGTTTTAGAAAAAAAAACCAAACCCTTCATTTCAAAGAAGAATATCTTAAATCCCAAACTTCAGCATGACAAGGCTTCTTATCTAGCTTTACCCAAGGAACTGAGGACAATGGTGTGGGTGAGTGAACATCCAGCTCTCCACTACACTTGGTCCTTAAGGGCATCTCTCATACTTCTCAAATGAAAATGATTCTGTCTCAGGTAGAGAAAACATTTTGCAATAATATGAAGACTATGTACATAGACATTGTGAGAATTAATTTGTAAGCAAACACTGAAATTTCAGTATTTCACTTGGAAATTTTAACATATCATTCATGTTAATTTTCTATAAATGGGAGACAAACAAAAGTATACTCAGTATAAGGAAATACACCCAATGCTTTCTAATAGTTTTCAGAGAGAAATCATATGAGGCATAGTGCCATGTATCAGAAAGAGTGAGACAGACATATTCAAAGAAAATGAAACTGCAAAACTAAGCCTCCTTGAAACAGAAAGTACCCCCAGTTTCCTTTGGGCAAGAAGTTGTTTCACAGGTATTCATCCTGCCAGGCAAACAAACACAGCTCTCCAAAGGAAACCAGCCCTGATAAACACCTCTCAAGTCCTCACTTAAAGACAAGGACTTCCACTTTGCGAGATGACCAGATATTTTCCAAGTAGAGCAACGAAAAGCTGCCAGACATGACATATCCTAATATAGCAGTAATCTCACAAGTACAGGCCATCACACATAAACACTATCCTAACATTCACATGCAGCCTCCAGTCCCAGCTGTTCACTGTGAAGGTAAGTCCTGTACATGAGAGACTGAATGTGACTCCAGATTCTCACAACTATCAGCTTTGTAATTCTTCCCTCCACAATCTGCAGTCCACAGCATATCCTCGTCTTGTCTAAATGGGTTTGATTAAGGACACTCCATTACAGAAACCAATTAAAAGCATAATTCTAACTTACAGCCGCAATAAAATTTTCCATTTTTATTTAGCTTTCAAGAAAGGGTTTTTTTGTTGTTGACAGAACAAGGATCATCCTCTATTTTATTTCACAAGATAGCCATGGAATTCTTTTATGTAAGAAATTCTAAATACCTGCACTTCATGCCTAAATTCATATGTACAGACTCACTAAAGAAGGGAACACAAGCTAGCACTATCATCACAAGTATCCATTTTGGAAGTATTTCTTTGGATTTTGCTCTTAGCCAAGGAAGCCTTTGCATCTACCCCATTCCAACTGCTCCCTGGTTGCTAAAACATAGATTCCCTCAACATACACAGAGAAAAATACTAGGAAATTTTTAATCATGGCTAGAAGAAGAAGAAGTTCTTTGTAAAGCAATCTAGAGGACAGAACACATAGGCAATAATTTTTCCAAGTTACTCACTACTTGAATTTGCTCTGAGGTAGGAAAGGTAACCAGCACAGACTTGTCACTATGTGATTAGCAATGCATGAATGGAATGTCCAAACACCTATGAACAGATAAGTTGCATAAGCAGAATAAATTAAAACAAATCAAATATGTTACATTCCATTCTTTTATCACATGTAGTTTTCCTTATGAAGTAGTGACAGAAGCAGCTTCACTATTGACCTTTACTGAACCTTAACTTATACAAGGTATAGATTCAGATGGCTATGGCTAATGAAAACACATTATTTAACCTTTCACCTATTTTCTTGCAACATCCCCATGAAAAAGATGGTTTACTACTATTTTCCCCCTTTTTATACATTAGGATTGATAAAAAATAAGTTTGGAAAATTTACTGGGCAAAACCATAGAAAACTTACTCAATAAGAATAAGCTGAGATTTATAGTGCAGGGTATACACTTGTCGATAGAAAGGAGCCCACATGACTTTCAGCACTACAGCTACCTTTGTTAGGAGAAAAAATAAATAAACAAAAAAATTCCCACAACATCATAAGAACTTTCTTTTTAAAAAAGCAATTGATTTTATCTGTGGTCCCAGAGCAGAATTTTAGAATCATTAAGTCAATATAAGAATTTTTTTTAATGGTGTAGCAATGGGTTCAGCACCCAACAGGAATCTCACCTTCACTATGAGCTAGGATAACCCAGCCATGTGATCACTGTCTGAAGGCACTGACAGGTGCTGCTCACCCCTCCTGAACAGACACATGGATGGCCAGTGTACATGCATGCAAAATAAACCTTCATTTGTTTGTTGTTATGTGTATTTGCTGTCATACTTGGCCCTAAAATCCTCACTTCTTTTCCGCCTGCAAAACAGGTAATGAGAATTATCTAGAAAGTTAACTAAAATGTCTTTTAGTGTTGTTATTAAAATTTATCTTCACTGATAATCCCTGATATCCACTGATAATGTGGTTTTAAGAGAGCAATGGCAAACTAAAAAAATATACAAGTTTCACTAGTTTCACACAGCTTTTTCAGATGAAAGAGAAAACACGGAATATTCTGAGCTGGAAGGGACCCACAAGGCTCATCAAAGTCCCACTCCTGGCTCTGCACATGGCTACCCTGGAATCATACCATGTGCCATGTAACCAAGCACTTTTTGAACTCTGTCAGGCTTGGTGCTGGTCTCTGGAGAGCCTGTTCCAACTCCCCCCTACTCCCCTCCTCTCGCCCCCCCCGCAAAAAAAAGTATTAATTGACATTGATGCAAGATTTGGTAAAGAAGAATTTCAATTTATGTTAAATAAATCTAATCCTAGCCTATTAAGAACTGACATGTTTGAAAATAAGGACATGATACAGATAGTTCTACATGTCACAAAAACCTTTGCCAAGATAGAACTTGAATTCTGGAATCATACTGTACTGTGCAACCCTGAAATCTTGTCAGAATATCCCACAAGCTGAAATGCTGCACAAAGTTTGAGCTGCTGCCACAATTATTGGCTCTCTTTGAAAAACAGCAGGCTTTGCTCAAGTGGAAATATTGATTCCTTAGGGATGGCTCTTCCCCTACAGCACTACATTGCTTTGGAGATGGATTATCCCATAGAGACAGTTTCACAGGAACTGTCACTAAACAAAACTGAACTAAATTCAGGGTCCTGACCACATGGATTAGGATATGGATAGCCAAGGAATTGTTGCCAACAATAACCTCAGTGATATCTCAGAGCATAAATGAAATTGTCAATAATGTTGGCCATTTAATGCCAATGCTGGCCTATTAAAAGCTGATTTCACAAGTTTCTGCTTCTACATTCCAAACACCCTAGGTAGTATCTAGAAACAGACCTCTATCTGTAGCAGTGCCTAAACTAGAGAGAAAGCAGTTCTGACAATGACAATGACAAGAATGACAATTCCCAAATTCCTAAAGAGTTACAGCTGAACAAAGCTAAGACTAAATCTGTTTTTATACTCAAATGGCTTCATGTAAGTACTGTGTGAACATTAAGTGAAATGCCCTTATAGGCACTAATGTATATTATTTATACATATTAATATATCCATTTATCAACGTATATAATAAAGCGCAAGTCCATAAGTAATATTGTCCTATATAAGGAACAGATAATATTTTACAGAAAAATCACTAACTATAATAGCAACTTAACTGAAATAAGAGCAGGTTCAACCACAGATCTTCATAAATTTATGTTTTGGAATGACCAGAACAAGCACATAATACTTCTCTGAAGTCTCCCAGCATCCAGCTACTAAAAGCCAAATCCTGTTAAGTATTAAAACATATAGTAGCAAGCACTACACAATGATGTGGTTACAGGAAATCAAACAGGATTAAAAAAATCACCACATGCTATGTTCTCTTTGAGCATAAACATAAAAGGCAGTGAGACAGCGTCTTTGTAGATCCTACCTTTGGGCCCTCAGAAACCTGGCTTACACCAGAGGCCATCCAGCTACCAGCATTCAGCAGGCAAGGGGCACTGAGTGTTAACTTTACACAATGAGCCCTTAGTCCAGCATCTGTAATACTCTTCTGTAAGTGGCTGTGCTCTGACTACACAGAGTTGCCATAGGAAACACATACTTCCAGATTTGGACAGCAAGGACCAATTGCTCCCAGGTTTCTTTCCATCATGTTCTAACTACACCAATGAGTGAAGTCCAAGAACAAGACAGGATAAATGACAGGAGCTCACGTTTCATCAGAATACCACTGGGACCAAGCCTTAGGGTGATATGGGGAAAGGGAAAGTTGCAGAGCTAAAATCATTGCTGGAAAGATAATCAAATTCTTACAGAAAAATTGGCTTTAAACTCCAAACTATTTCAATTACCTTCTGGTGGTGGTGGAGGGAAATCCTCTGTGTCCATTCTAGTGTATCCACCGCACCTTTAGCAGACTGGAAAACTCTGCAAAAATGAAGGGAACATGTTTTGTAGATGAACACAATTTCCAAATATCAAGACACTCCTTTTCAATTTGGCCAAGCTCATACCTATTAGCTAATACTATTATGGAAGAGAGGAAATTTCCCTGGCTTCTTGCTTCGATATGAATACAGTCCAAATTTTTATGTACACAGCCCTCAGTATTGGAGCCAATTCTTATAATGATCTCAGTAAGCCAGCTGAAGAAAGATGAAGTTTTTAAACTATTTGGTACTTTGCAGTTCCCACTGTGACAATCACAAGGAGATTACTAAAACATGTTATTTCAATGTCTGTTTTGAGTACATATTCCATCTCAAAATCTTCGTGAAGGGGTGAAGAATAAAAATTATAGGAAGCTTATCAGTTTTCATTACACTTTTCTCTATTCAACAATCAGAAATAAGTTTTAACTATATACTTTGTACACAGATTCTTTCATTTTTTTTTTTTGCTAATCTTAAAAATTCTGCTTGAGTCCCTTTACTCCCACCTTTTCTAAGGAGAGTGAAGTACTAGCAAGCAAGTTACTGAGGATCTTTTCGTTCACCTTCTTTTCTTAAATGCCATTGATCTCATGTTTTTAGGAAAATAATAACTCTACAAAGCATTCCCCTACTTTGGCACTGAATACACAACTGAAGAGAAAGAAGCCTAGAACCCATGAGAGATATCATCCCTACTTCCCCATAATGCTACTTAATAGTGACATTCCAGTATCATCCAGAAGAAAAATCTATTGTACTAAGCAATGTACACACTCTGCCCCCAGCCCATTTTTACTCTAACTCAAGAGACAGAATGTCAAAAGGATAGATTTCAGAATAAGGCTGAGGAGGAAAAGCAAGTCACCAAAAGCTACAAAAGAACAGTGGAAGAGCCAATGCTGAATTTTCTGTCCTACTCTTGAGTGGCTCATAGATGTCAATCTGAAGGAGTTATCTCTTCTGCTGGCAACAAAACAGCTCAAACCCTTGGAAAGTCTCCATGGCCCCAATACGAAAAGATTAAGTTGAAGGAGACAGTGAAATTCAAGATACAGTGGCAAAATATTAAACTAAATGGATCAGGAGACAAAGTTCCAATCAATTGCCACTTACAGAAAAAGTGGCAGTGAATAAAAAAAAAACATACTTCAAAAAAGGATCCAATCCTAGGAGACACCAGGCAATTTGCCTCCCTAACATTGGTTTGCAAGGGTGAATTATCAGGATAGATGTACCAGGAAGGATAACAACTCTGGTAGCACAAGATCCTATTATGATGAGACAATTCATAACAACTTCATTGACCAAGCATACAAAATTCTCTCTTAAACTCTCTGAAGCTTTGGTAACTCTTAATCCAGTCCTAGACAAAAATCAAGTAGCTTCAGACCTAAGGCTCAGAAAGGATTTACCCAACATCTATATATAACACAATAAATTCCATTATGTGCTTTCCCTATACAATGTTCCTTCTAAAGCTTCTCTACAGTTTGTATCTGCAGAGCTCCAAGGCCTGTTCCTGCTTACAGATGTCTGGAATGCATCCCGCCACACCAAAACTGTCAGCCAAAACAAGCGATAGTTATGGTTTGAAGAAATGGCTATTTTCTTATATTTTTTTAAAGCTGCTCATGACTGGAGCATAGGTTTTCAAGTGTGAACACATGTAAGAGCCAGCAAACCTCTGAAAGTGAGTTCTCTGTACCTTTTTAAGAGAGCAGCTAAAAGGCTTTCAGACTATTTTTTTCTTTAAATAGATGATGCAAGCTTTTAAACATCTATCAAAGTTAACTTCCAACAATGATTTTTTAAAATCAATTCCTTCCTCACCAGCAAATATTAACAAGACAGAGCTGAGCCATGGAGCTTGATTTCCATTTTGATCTAGCTCACAGTGACGTGCTTCAAATTACACCAGAATTGTGTCAAAGAAGGACACAGACCCAGTGTTAGAGTCCTAGCCACTGACCTGCTTGCTCCCATCTGAACAGTGCAGTTATTCACAAGAAGAAAGATACACTTTCTCACTTAAGAATGCCTCAGGGGTTGATTTATACATTACATTAAGTCATTTTGAAGTTCCACATATTTTTCACTACTTTTTAGATGCTGAGAAAAACCCTGCAGCAGGAAAGAGAGCTTGTGTATTACAGCTTGCATTAATACCTTCCAAAAAGGAAATAATTGCCATGTTATGTAGCAGACAGCACGTTTATGAATGATCTCTAATAACACCATATTTCAAAGAGAAGTTTTTCACTCTTCTTTAGAGAGGTAGAGGAACTACCTCAACTTAAAGATGTTTAAATCAAGATTAAGGCAGATGATTTAATTTGACTAGCAGCATATGGTACATTCACATTTGTAGCTCAAGTGCTTTTCCCATCAATTCTCCTGCTAACAGAGTTACACAGCACATCTTACAGGTGCATTTGGACAATAACAGTGAAAATCAAAGCTCAAATTAAGCTGAAAGGGATTTATGAATGTTCTCTCATACACTCAAGACAGGTGTTTTCAAAATTAAATCAGGTTACTCAGGGCCTTTGTCCCCCCCAAGTTCGGAAACACCATGAAGGTGGAGGTTTCACCACCCCCCAGAGCATCCTGCTCCTGAGCTTAACCAGAAACTCCAGGAAGAGTTTTTCCCGTAAGCCCAACTGGAGTCAGCCTTGCAGCAGCTTGCAGCCATTGCCTCCCATTCTCCTGCTGTGCACCCCTGAAAAAAGCCTGGCTCCACCCTCTTTCCAACCCCACCTTGGGAAGCAGAAGACAGCAATTTAATCCCCCTCTCTCCTTTCTTCTCAAAATGACACAAACCTGGTATCCCTCAGCCTCTCCTGACCTCTTCCCACCCCCAACCATAGCAGTGGCCTTTACTGGACTTGCTCCAGTTTGCCAGTCCCTCACTTGTACTGGGGCCTCACAATGAACACTGAACTCCAGATGCAGCATGGAGATCACTAAGTAGACGTTACCCAGTTTAACATAAAAGTATATTTTAAAAATTAAAAGCTTTTAAGACACAGAATATCAAGATCTTGTTCCAAAGGTATTTTTAAACTGCAAAATAAAAATACCTTATTAAACATGAAACACATGTGCTATTATTATTCATGCGTATTTCAGCATAAAATTATGAATATGAATACCTGAAGAACTGCCCTGATCTACTCAAAATAACACAGAGGCTATAAAAATATGGAGCTCTTTCCCCTCTTGTAACATTGTTTTCTCAAACACAGTATAACCTCTTTTTAATGACTCAAACTGCACCCGTCCAGAGTTACTTAGCTGAAAGTTTAACATTTCCCATTGGCATCCAGATGTGAAAGGAATTCACCTGACTTCGTGCTCATAACCTTCTTTGCTTCAGATGTGGGTAGAGATAGCAGTGATGGCTGTGGGCCACAAAAGTGCTCTACAGATTGTCTCCTTTCCCCCTATTCCAAGCCTAAGGGACTACTGTTAAAAATAAAAACCTACTTGTAGCACAATAGCATGGTTTTATTCCAGATGTTTAGCTAGTAACTTCCTAAATTTGGCACTAAAAATCAGGAACAATCATATTAAATGCATGCATTTTCAAAGAAAAAAACCACAACAGGTCCCTTATTATAATGCAATATATTCAGTTCCTGACCAAGTTTGTAATGCTTTCTAAGTTTTAAGTTGATACCTAAGGAAAAAAGAAAAGGAATTAAAATACCACATTAAAATCAGATGTTCATGGGCAATGTTTCCAATGCAGAGAAGTCCCCCACAGTTAAAGCAGTCAGAAATCCAATGGCACTCACACCAGAAACCAAAATTATGCAAGTGTGAAATGGTCCCTAAGGACAGCTCCCAGCACTTCAAATTTTCCACCAACTACACTCACCTTTGACCATGGAAGCTGCTACTGAATGAAGTGGGAGTCTGTGATGTTCCACAGCAGACTTCACAACCTCAAAGTGCTAACACCTGCAAAATCTGAGACTGAAATTCTGATTCCACAGCAAAGGGCAGTTTCAGCAAATGAAACAAAGGCAAAGACACCTTTATTCTTGTCCGGAGACTATAGAAGAATGTCCGCATTCCTCTCTGAGACTCAGTTTTCCTTTCTCCTAACCTCTGGTAACTCCTTTTGCCTCCAGGACTAAGCTTCTCAGCTGCATCTGCATATCTGATTTTGTTCAATGGTTTCCTCTAATTGTGGGACAAACAACAGACTATCAGTTCCCAGCTAAATGATTACAAATACTGATCAACATCTGCGTTTCCACTTCAACAAAACTATTTTCCAACAGCCACTACTTGTGCAGAAGTCACAATGCAACAAAAATGGCACCGGCACAAACTCTGCCAAAACTGCAAGACAGTGCAGCATTCAGACCTGGGACACAGTACTTATGTACTGAGCTCCCAAAGGGCACATGCATCCAAGCTTTCTCAGCTCTGTCACCCTAAGAACTGTAAAAGGGACTCACATACCTTCTCTTTACGGTGTGTGCACTGTAACTGCAGCAACATCAGGCTTCTTCATTCTTAACACTGCAGAGAGAATGAACATTTCACAATAGGAAACAGAAGCTGAATCAAGAAGACTAATTTCTAAGAAACTATGACTTGTGGAGAAAGCTTAGTCCAAGGAGAAATGCAATGTCTCTGAGAAAGCCTGAAAGTCTAAAAATTAAACTAAAAAACCCCATCAAAACAAGAAAATTGCGAAGGTAAAGCCCATGAATATCTAAAATACCCTTGTGTCCACATCACTTAGTGAATATTGCTGTATAATGCCCAATTAAGTCTTCTTCCACCTAGAACTACAGAATTCCCATTGGGAAGTAACTCTTGCTGAATATGATATGGAGACTCTTCCAGCAGTGCAGAGAAATGACAAGATAGAAGAAAGCAGAAGATAGAAGTTTAATTGCCTATTTTTTCCTCCTATAGCTCAAGAAGGCTCTCTAACAAGACAGAAAAAATAAAAACTGCTTGTACAATTTGTTCTCC